CCAGGCAGCTGAGCTGAGAACCCTGGAGGAGGGAGCTGCAGAGGAGAAAGGAGCTGGGGAGTTCTGGGGTGGGGCAGTGACAGAGATGGATGGGCCCCGTGCTGGTTTTATCGAAGCAGGCAGAGCCCTGGCTCCAGCAGAGCGCAGTTATGGATTGAAATACACTGTGTGAGAAACAGCTCATTTACCAGGCAGCTCTGCCAGCCGTGTGGGAGAGAACGTGACTCCCCTTCTCTGATGGAGGCAAGGGTGCAGCACCCACTGATGCCGTGCTGCTCCCTGGGACCTTAACTCCCTCGACTTTCGCCTGCAGGCAATGGGCATGGAGGGCCCAGTGCCTCGGACCTCCCACACACCTCACCCGGTTGGCAGCCTGGAGCGTGAGGACTGGGACATTCTCCTTTCTGTAGCCACCACCTTCCCCTGGGGCTGCAAGCAGGGCATCAGGCACCATTGCCTGTGTACCTCAGGGCTCTATGCACAGAGGTTTGCTTTAAAGCCAGCCTGGGAGGCAGCATCACCTGGATCTTTCCTTTGATCCTTCTGCTGCATTCTCAGTGTGTGCTCCAGCTCTTGTGGCAGTGGGGGTGATGCTCTCCCTGTGTCCCTGCAGCCCACGAGCAGGGGATCGCAATCCTGGAGAAGAAGCTGGCCCAGCTGAAGCTGTCAGACATCTCGGGTGACTCTCGTGTCTTGCACGTGGGGAAGGTACACTATGAGCTCTCCAGGTGAGCCCTGCCAGTGCCTAGGAGCCACCCACTGCCCCTCAACCCAGGCAAGGGGCAGGAAAGGTGGGGAGGGTGGGGAGCCCCTGGAGCAGTGAGGACCATCCTGTCCCTTCCTCAGCTCCCTGAGATGTTTGTCTTGTCCTTGGTGCAGGCAGGTATGTTTCTGTTTCACTCCTTACCCATGGGGAGAAAGGGAACTGGGGTCACAGCCCCCTGGGAATGGGTGGATTGTGTGCAATCAAAGCTGGGGTAGTGGAGATGGCCTTGCCTGTGGGACCAGGGCACACGTTCCCACGTGGATCAGGAGCCCAGCCCGTGTGGAAATGCAAGCTCCCTGCTGCCCTGGGTGCCTCTCTGCTCCTGCAGCACAGCGTTTGGAGCTGCTGTGGGTGGCTGCAAGGGCCACATTCCCAAAGGTGCCACTCTGCTCTGTGTGTCCCTGCCAGGCATAGCTTTGCAGCAGCAGAACTGCAGCTGGGGATGCTGCCAGTGTAGTGACTCCACTCTGTCCTGCTCACCCTCCTTCCCTCCCTGATTATCTCCCTCCCTCCCTAGTCTTGCACTTGGGAGCAAGGAACCACTGTAACATGACTTTTCTTTTAATTCATATATTTTTAGACTGCGCCTTCGTGATTTTCATTTGCCAAAATCACAGATTACCCCAATCTCCAATGTGGGCCTGCAAGTTTCCATCTCCAACGCCTTTGCTGAGCTGTCTGGGGACTGGTGGGTGAAATTTCTCTTTGTGTGAGTTCCCAGCTTTTCCTCTCCCTGTTCAGGCACCCACTCTGTGTCTCCCTCTCTGGATCTGGACAGGTTTTTTCTTCTCTCGCTCTCCCTTGTGTTTTGGGCAGCTGTCACTTTGCTCACCCAGATATGATGGATAAAATAGGGTGGGAAGCAGGAACAAAGCACATGTTGGGGGTGCTGTATATGGACCCTCAGGTCTCTCTTCCACCACCCCTACTTGCCTTCACTCCCCTCTATTTAAAGGTTATCTCTCCTAGTTAATGTGCCAGTGAAATTTGTTTCCCCTGAGTTTAAA